CTTAATTGACGAACTTACCATTCATACAAGAGTATCCAAAAATGAATTAAGTTGTCACCTACACTTTATAGCTTTAGGATGTGTACATACTCATTCCCTCAAGATTAAGCCAAGGCTGCAGGGGGGAAAAATAACAGAGGACTTGGAATTTTTATAATTTGAATTAATAGATTTGTGCTTTAGGAAAGAAGATGAAGTTAATCAATGCCTTTTCTGCATTTGTAATACACCATTCTGTATATTACTTTTGTGTCCAAAGAGAGGAGGATTGAGTTAATGTGCCTCAGATGACAGTGCCCGACACTCTGCATATGCTTAGAAACATCAGCTGGGATTATGATGACCATTTACCGCTACAGTTAGAGCACTGACCTCCTTTGCTTTCCCAACATCACTCACTCCCAACTATCCTCCCGCTTCTGAATCATTTCTAGTATCTATGATGTGTTCCCTAAGGGGTGCCAGTTCAAGTACTCCATCCTCAGCTTGTCCTCACCCATATCATGGGGATCTCCCACACTCCCATTCTTTCTGGGAACTTCCTCTTAAGTAGACAGTTGTTGAGCCCCACCCTTACAGGAAGCTGCTTATGGATGTCCAGACTCATAGCCTGGCACATGGGGTTGCACCTAACTTTCTCATTGTACTCACTTCTAAATAATAATACTTTTCATTGGGTAGACATTCATTGCTCCCTTTTTTGTGGGGGGAAGGGGGAAATGCTGGTCCTGGGGCTTGAATTCTGGGCCTGGGTGCTATCCCTGAGCTCTTGTGCTAAAGGCACAGTACAACTTCCGGTGGGTTTGTGTATGTGTGTATTTTTGTTTTTGTTTTTTTGCTATGATTAATTGGATATGAGTCTCATGGACTTTCCTGCCCTGGCTGGCTTTGAATTATGATCCTCAGATCTTAGTCTCCTGAGTAGCTAGAATTACAAATATAAGCCACAGATGCCTGGTGAAGTTTCACATTTTTATATAGCTATCTGTCTACTTTTTCATCATTTCATTGTCAAGATGTACTTGACTACCCAAGGATCAGATAAGAAATTAAGTCTTTAAAGAAGAAAAAAAATAAAAGAAAAAGAAAAAAATAATTTTTTTCTTTTTTGGTGGCACTAGGATTTCAACTCAAGGCCCCATGGTTGCTGAGCCAGACTTTTCTTCTTCTTCTTATTTTTCTCTTTTTTCCTCAGGCTTTTTTCTTTTTTGGGAGGGAGGAAGGGGGATACAAGCTAACATATATGGTGGGGGGTCTCATGCTTTCTTCTTTCCTAGCTTACCTGGGACCATTATCCTTCCACCCCTGTGAAACATTAATATGATATGAAACAATGCTCTTCTGCCTCAGCCTCCGCAAGTGCTGGGATGATAAGCATATGGAGCTAAGCGCCGGTAGCTCACGCCTGTCATCCTAGCTACTCAGGAGGCTGAGATCTGAGGATTGCACTTCGAAACCGGCCTGGGCAGAAAAGTCCTATAAGACTCTTTTCTCCAATTAACCACTCAAAAACTGGCTGTGGCTCTAGTGGTAGAACTCTAGCCTTGAGCATAACAATGCTCAGGAACAGTGCACAGGCCAAGTTCAAGCCTCACAACTGACCAAACAACAACAACAACAAAAAACATATGGAATATACCTAAAGCCATTCTAATTATTTAATAAGGTAACAAGGATGGAGAAAAAAAAGCAAAATGGAAAACAAATAAGTTTATCTGTATTTCAATGGTCAATCTAATCACACTGAAGGGAAAAAATTTTAAACCTAACCCAGGTTACATATAGACACTGTATTTTGGGTAGATCCCAAAGGCTCTATATACCAACACTATCCTCTAGTTAGGTTAGTTTTTCACGGTAGCATGAACAATTATGAAAATTACTTAATGTGTAGTGTATGTGTGTGTGATATAAATAAATACACTGTGGCTAATGCAAGTCTGAGTAACAGACAAATAGCCATTCTCCCTATCTCTGTGCTAAAAGGGCATAAAAGCACGTATTGGTGTCTAAACACAGATGAGACTGTGGTCTGAGGACTGAGGTCCTCAGGAAAAATAGATGACTCCATGAGTAGGTCAGAGAAGGATAAGAATAAAGTAATCCTGGAATATCATGTTGTACAAGTAAGTAAGGAAATGTTCAAATGATGGGAACATGTCAAATTATAAAAAGTCAACCAGCCTGAAGCAGTTCCCACAAAAGAAAGCTGAAGCAATTTACTGTTAGGGGACAATTGTATTGATGCTTTGGAAATAATCCAAGTCAATACTGGAACAAGTTATACAATAAAATAAAACCTATGAGTTTGTAATTATATAAATAAATGAGGAATTACAAAGAAGGAGATGGCTCTTCCTTACAGAATGCCACCTAATAAGTACAAGGAACAATGGGATTTGAAAACTACTATTTGGTAACTAGCACAGTAATAATTACTTCCAATAAGATCATAAACTAGCAGATTAAAAAAATGGATGACAAATGGTACTTACATAACCCAAGAGATATTAAGTACAAAGGGGAAGTGGTAATGGTGAAGAAGCCTGGCAACTACCATCTTTTTTTCCCCATTAAAAAAAAATTATTTCTTTTTATGTGGTGCCTTTAACCACCTCTGTTATGAAATATGTAAGTTGTTGCAAACTAAGGTTCACCTTACTCTTTAACACCCTTGAACTAATTGTTCTTTTCTTTTAACATTTTAAAAAATTATTATCTTTAAGTAGTTGTACAAAGAAGTTCCCATTCTACAAAACAGTATATGAATACAAGGTGTCTGACAACATTGGCAGCTGCCATCTTAACTTACGAAGGTAGACAGATCTTGTATTATGTGATCTTGAAAAGATGCACCAAAAAGGCCACAACATAGCTTACCTGGCATTCCTGCATAAAAGCAGATACACTGAATCTCAAAGTGAGAGGCACTGTAAAATAGAAGCCTGTGTGCTTCAAAATGTTAAAGTGCAGGCCCAGAGTTTATTCTCTAGTACTGCTCACTCTAGCCCCCAGCAAAAGTCAAAGTAACTGAAAACAAAATGAAAAACTAACTAGGTACTAATGCACATGAAAGGAAATCCAAGGCATAACAGGTAAATATGATAAAATAACTATATATGACAAGTGATTCTGAACTAGGTCCCTAGCCATCCCTGAGAAAAGACATTAGAGAACAGGCAAAATTTGAAATCTGAGTAAGATGTGTAAAATTAGATAATAGTACTGAATCAACATTAATTTCTTGATTTTGAATTAATTTGTATTTTGGTTATATGAGAGCACCTCTGAGGAAAAAACACCTAGTAATATTTAGGGATAAAAGTGCAATATGCCTTCAATTTTCCCTAAAAATGATTCAGAATTATATGACAGAGAATGAAGAAGAATAATGGAAATTAAGATAGATCAGAAGTGTGACATGTATAGAGGTATTTACCACAGAAGGGCTGATATGGCCCCAGTGTACATTAGAAGTGAGGAGAGGGTGTTGGGAAGTTGGTAGAGTGCTTGCCTCGCATGCATGAGGCCCTGGGTTCGACTCCTCAGTACCACAAAAGCTGAAAAAACCTGGAAGTGGTGCTGTGGCTCAAGTGGTAGGGCGCTATCCTTGAGCTGAAGAGCTGAGGGACAGCGCTCAGGCCCAGAGTTCAGCCTCCAAAATGGACCAAAAAAAAAAAAAAAAGAAGTGAGGAGGGTATGAGTTATAAAAGAGCTTCTTAAGGTGGCTCTTATTAATAGAGGAGATTCTGAACAGAGAAGAGGTAGGAAAGAAAGAAGTGGCAATGTTAGGGAAAAGAATGGGGAAATGGCAGCAAGCCCAGACTATTGGAAGAAAAGATTCGAGCCTTAAGGTAGTTGTTGGAAGTTCTTAAATTGTGAACTGAGATGTTTGCTTATTTTGTAGGCACATAGATACTATCACAGGTTTACACTAAGATCTTAGTATTTACAAACAACTTATGAATGGTGGATAAAAAAAAACACCTCTAGAACCATGATAGATGGTTTTGCCTGTAGAAATGATCACAATATGAAATAAAATTGGTAAGCTAATAAGATGGCCCTCCTTGGCATAATTAGAATCCTGAATAACTAGGTCAGGAAGAAATACTAATATAATGAATTAATAATAGGACATGCTATCAAATAACACAAAAATAATGAAAGAAAAAGATTTAATTTTCTTTCAATTGATTAATAACCAGACAAATTGTAATCTATTAATCAATGCGCACACAGTTTTGCACATGGCCAGAAATGACTACTATCATGAGATACCTGGCCTTCATATTATCTGGATATTTAAAATCAATTCTCTAAAGGTAGTTTTAACACTACATTTAGACATTCTATAAACAAGGAGAAAAAAAGAACAGTATTTTATCCCATGCATTCAGTTTTAATTGAGGAACTGCAGAAGAGATAGTGGATATAAAACAAATCTTTCTTGGGAAATCTCTTGGATACAAACACTGTATTAACTTCTGTAATAGCAAAGAGAAATGAAGAGAAAACAGGTAAGAGTTATTTTCAACTAGTGCATTCAGGATAGACCATATAGAGAACTGTTCTCCTAAATGGAAATAGCTGTTCTGCTCTGTACCATACAGGATTATAGACAAAATTTAAGAAAGCTAAAAATCCTTTTAAATAACACTTCCTTTAGCTTTAATCACAAATAATTGCCTCTTTTGGTGCTAATGAATATAAGCACTACAGAACAGAATGCAATTCTGCTGGTTCATTCAGGGTAATGGCTTTGTGAGCTAGTGACACTGAAGAGAGATCTAGTCTCAATTTCCTAGAGTACAATAACTAAGCAGCAGTAAAATTTTCACTTGAGGAAGATTTTCTAACCTATGTAAATAGAAATGGGAACACTCATTATCTATTGATAACAACAACAAAGTAAGTTAAATAAAGTTTTATATGTTACTGTTTCCTGTAACAGCCATCAGCTCCCTGGATCATGAAAGTAAATAAAGCATTTCACTTACTGAAATCAATGAGAAACCGTCCAAATCCTTGCCTTTGGTGCTGGGGCATGATCATTATGCAGGAGACATTATACTTCTGCTGGCAAAGCTTTTCCTAAGGGAAGGAGAAACAGATCAAGTGTGTCAGAGCTCTGCTGAAGTGGGCAATTCCCTGCACCTGCCAGTGTCCTTGCAAACTAGTTCACTAAGGTAAACCAGTGGGCTAGGTCAGATCTAGCAGAATAATCCTTGTGTGGTCATCAATCAAGCCATTACTTAATAACACACCATCTATTCTAGGCATGCTTTTCAATTATAGAATATGAATAATGAATCGAAATATGAACCAAACAAAATATAGGCAGTATGGAGGAAAAGCTTTTCCAGTTCACAAACCATGGGAGATAGCGAAAGTACCATCTAGAGAGTTACTTAGTGGATAAGATTTAGCTAGCAACCCCGCTAAACAATAATTTACTATTCTTCAGTAGTAACCTGTCTTCTGCCTGTGAGCAAATGCCCCAGTGAAACTAAAATAGTAGGTATGTGGGTAGATATACACAAATACATTTCTCCTGTGAATAAGAAGTCAAAGTGAGAAGCTAGAAAGATAATGAATTTGCATTTAAAAGTAGGAAAACAAAACAAAACAGACAACAAGAAACCCCCAAGCCTCCAAACAAAATTGAGACCAAAAATATTGCCAGCAGTTTGAAACCAGGAGAAAAACGGAGTAGAATATGGTGAGAAAAAGTTCTAAGAATCTAAGTTCACAGTTTTCACAGGATGTGGCACCAGGACAGCAGTATTTTATTCAGAGTACACAGAAGCTGCCAACCTACACAAAGAAGATCTAGAAAAGGCTTTTGAGGATGTGAATACTCTGGCTAAATACAAACCACAAATGAGATTGACCACAAATGGACACAACTACATCAAAGAGTTACTTCAGAACACCCAGCTCTGTAATGAACTTATTTGAAAATCATAGGAAATGCTGGTGAAAAAACCCTACAGGGAAGAATTAAATATTTCTTTGTGAAAAAGATGAGCTCCCAACTTTTACATTTTTGTAGCTGTCTGTGGAGCCTATTAAATATATGCAGAGAAGACGCAGGTGACAGTGAATCATGTCTGTAATCATAGCTACTTGGGAAGCTAAAACAGGGAAGATTTTCATTTTAGGCCAGCCTGGGCATACATGCGAGATTCCAATAGCTGGACACAGATGTATGCATCTGGAAGGCAGAGACTGGGAGAACCACATAAGGCCAATGTGGGCAGACAAGGCTGTGAGGGACTACCTCAACAGAAGCTGGGCATGGTGGCACATAACTGTCATATCAGGAAGCTGAAATAGATGGATCATGGGCTAGGCAGGCCCCCTAGGCAAGAAGCAAGAACCAGTGCAGCGGCTGGGAAGGTGGCTCAGTGGTAGAGAGCTTGCCTTGCATGCATGAAGCCCTGGGTTCGATTCCTCAGCACCACATAAGCAAAAAGAAAAAAGCCGGAAGTGGCAATGTGGCTCAAGTGGTAGAGTGCTAGCCTTGAGCTGAAGAGCTGAGGGACAGTGCCCAGGCCCAGAGTTCAGGCCCCACAACCGGACCGCCCCCCCCCCTTGCAAAAAAAAAGAAATAAACCAGTGCAAAGGAGTGCAGGGTCTAGTCAAGGCGTTGAAACTCAAGTGGTAAATACTAGGCAAGATCAAGGCCTTGAGTTCAAATCCCAGTACTGACCAAAAATGGGGAAGGGGGAAGGGTAAGAATGAGTCCATTTGCTTTCACTGAATGTGTATATCAGATAATCAAAATTGTTTTGTAAGGTTAGACATAGATGTTTATCTAAAACAGAGATGTAAAAAGAATTTATCCTTGATGACATGTTCTTTCTTGTCTAGAATTAATTCCATCTAAGGGGTTTTGAAATCCAATTCAACATCCTCTTAACCTTTCTTTACCACACGTTACTAACACTAAATTGCGTGTAATGTATCTTTTAAAGATTTTTTTTCAATACTATACCACTTAAAACTCAAATAGTAAGGAAGGAAAGTAAATGCTGCCATACTATAAAACTTTGAATCCAAGCTATTTAGAAAAAGTTATTGAGACCTTATCTTAAACAAACCAGGTATGCTGGTACACTCTTGTAATCTGTTATGAGGCAGGAAGAGGCAGGAGGATTGTGGTCTGATGTCAGCCTGAGTAAAAACGTGATACTGCCTAAGAAGTAAACTCAACACCGCCAATATCAAGTGTCCTGAAGGACACCATGAATGAATATCCTTCATAAACTGTGATATATAGACTTTGAAAATAAATGATCAGTTTCTGGGGAAAAAAAGCAAACAAACAATAAGGTATGGGACTATGACTCAATTGGAAGAGCAAGCTTGGGGTCCTGAGTTCAAACTGCAGTACCACTTTATCTAACTCATTCACTCACTCACATCTGATCTTTACAAACTTACATAAAAGCTAAGGTCTTTTTGCAGATTTAATAAATTTCCTATTTACTGTTTTATTCTGTTAATCCTCTGACATTTTTTCAGTCTATATTATCTAGACTAACTTTCTTCTTTTCCATTTAGAAGTTTAATCATATATCTATATTAAAACATTGAGGCAGCTTCCCATGAATGCTATTACTGATTTCTGTCTATGGTCTCTTAAATTTAGTGACTTTTATTAACACACACACACACACACACACACACACACACACACACGATTTTTGATCCTCTGTGAAACCGGCTCTTCTACAAAACATTTCATTTACATTATGGAAAAACATTTAATGAATCAATTATGATTTAATAAGTTACTTATCACCTAATATGTAAAACTATATCTTAACATAAATGAAGTACAGGGTTTGGATTATATACCTTGTTCCTAGGAATCTCACAATTACCAGCTCTGTTTATGTAACCATGTCCTCAAGTATCAAGGTCACTATCAGGTAAACATTTCCTAACTCAGTTCTTCTTTTTGCATAAGTTATTGTTTTTGAGTAGAAAGATGTAAGAGAACTGCTCTGAACTGGAAAAAAAGGTGAGTTATTGCCTATAACAAAAGGGCTTCCTCGTGGTACTGAGTAGAGATAGATATGTTTTCTAAAGCTGAGGCTTCTTTTGAACATAAAACAATAGCACAGAGAATAAGAGACAAAAGTATAAAACTTGTCTTCCATCAACTTCACTACCCAAACACCAATGTTCTAAACACACTGGAATCTTGCTGACCACAGGAGGAAGGCCTTGTGGAGAAAGAAGGAACTCATATAGACAAGTACAACATTACACTGAAAGCTTCATGTTGACACCACTTGAGGAGCAGGAGAAAAAACTTTAACATTTAGAAAATTGAAGATGCTAGGTGGTCTGCAAGGCAGCAAATACAATGTCATCTGATGCTAACAGTCTGCAAGGCACACAGTGCTGAGGTCTTTTACACTCTTTCTTAGGCATCATGTTTTTTTGTTTTTGTTTTTTTCTTTTTAAAGGAGCTCTGAACAAGAAGCTACGCTTTTCAGAAACATGTGCCACTTATTCAAATTATAGCCATACAAAAAAAAAAAGCCCTGTTCAAAGAATTGGGCTCCACTAAAAACATTTCAAAAAAGAAAATAAAGGTCATGCTGGCTCTTGTTTTACCTTAGAGAAGTATCCAACCAGATGACAGCCTTTTTCATCATTTTTTGTAAGGACATAAAAAAGGAATGGCTCGACATCATAATACAATGTTTTGTGGTCCAGGAAGAGCTTGGCTAACAAGCAAAGGTTTTGGCAATAAATTTTGCTCATATTCCCATCAACCTGGTAAAAAAAGAAACAGACATCATTTAACATAAAAATATCCCTCAATTTAAAGTTGTTTCTTCTATATGGCATTGGAGAAAGTACATCATTTTATTTCATAAAGTCTTATATAGAGAGATTAAAACACTATATTAAACAAGGGCAGAGTGAACCAGAACAGCTGTCACTTAGCAAATAAAAATTCTGCTTTTGTCTTAAATTAGGGCAAACTTAAGGCATCTTAAATTTCTTGACAGGCTATCTAAAGAAAGGATAAACTACCAGAGTAGTAATTTTTATTTGCAATTTATTATACCTTAAAATAACCAGTCACATCTTTTCTTTTTCATTTGAACCAAATAAATGTCAATTAAAAATGTAAACAAATCAATTTACTTCTCAAATATGTTACACTTTTATGTTATTTTCAGAAGAGCTTCAAATAAAAAGATACTGTATTTATTTTGATTCCTCAGAAATGTGGCTTAGCAAAAACAGATTCCATTTTGGTTTTATCCCAAGTATCATTCATTTTAAATATAATTGGAAAAGATACAATTTCTATGTTGGGATTACTTACAGTGGATGTGAGATGAATTTCAACCTACAATGGGTAACGATTACAGTCTACTTCTCTTCAAAATAAAGGAATCAAGCTGTGATACTGATGGCTATAGACAGGAGGCTAGGCACACATGCCAATTTCTTTGATCAAATGTAGTTACTTGTTGAAAACAGAAAGCACAGCAGATTCCCTAGCACTTTTTTTTTTTAAAGGGGAAATGGGTATTTGCTAACCAGAGCTCTTTAACAGCAAACTTGACCATTCTTGAGTCTCCTGTGGACCATATGGGTTCTCATATTGCACAAATTATTTTTAGACTTCATCTAACCATTTCCCTTAGATGAAACCTAGGTCCCACACATAGCAACATAATCAAATGTGGCACCACGCACAGACAATACAATTCTCTCTTTAATTAAAGGAAGTTGCTATGTATTTGGAAGTATGGTCCTTTTGGAAATAGTAGTATATTACAAAAAAGAGAGATATAAGTAAAATTCTGGCCAGTTATGAAATCTAATATAAGAGAAAAAGAGAAGATAGGAAAGTAGAAACCTGTGATTTTTCTTTTCTTGTTTTATAAATCACTCTTATTCTAAGAGAAAAGTACTCCTCATGTTATACTCAAAATACTAGCAGTTCTAGCTCCTCTTTATTTTTTAAAGTACCAGTCCTGGGGCTTGAATTCAGGGTCTGGGTGCTTTCCCTGAGCTCAAGGCTAGAGCTCTACCACTCGAGCTCCAGCTCCGGTTATCTAGAATTATAGGCATGAATCCAACTCCTTTATCATATTAGGAAATTGGACAAATCTGTGTCTGAACCCCTCTCACGTGCCCTCCAAGAGCAGCCCATTGTCACACACGTAACAAGATTGTTTTGCTCCTGAGAAGCCTCCCTGGGTTTATGAAAGCTTCAACCTCACAGGCGACTCATGCTGATTTACTTAATAATTACTTAAGGCGAACAGTATATTTTGTCTTTTAGGAAACAATGAAACAGCTATTTCAATTTAATTTTTGTTAGGAGAATCTAAAATATCAGGGCAGGAGCCAACAGGCAAGTTGACCTTAATTCAGCTTTAATTTAGAAGAACTATATGCCTCAACTAGTTGGGGTGGGATAACCAGCATTCCATTATTAATAACAGGAAGGTCAGTCAATGTATATGTAGCTAGCTTTCCCTTAAGCCCAGTGGTTCTCAGAGGAAGTGACTTTGTTCCCCAGGGTACTTTTGATTATGTGTAGTGGAACTTTTGGTTGACATAACTGTAAGCATCTGGTGGGTACAGGATAGGGATGCTGCTATATACATCTTACAATGTACTTCATAGCACTTATGATGATCCATTATCCATCTAGAAATGTTAGTAGTGTCCAGGCTGGAAAAACCCTGTGACCAGCCCTTAATAAGAGTGAATCCTTGAATCCTCCCACCAAGAAAACGCTTCTTTGTTCAAACTAACCCCTTCACCCAAAGAAGTATGATATAACTATGAGTAGGTATTTACAGAACAAAACAAATATAAAAAACCCACAGCTGGAGTTTTTTTGTGTTCTCTGAGCAGTCTTAGGGAAAAGAACCTAGCTGGCCCCAAACTAAGAGAGGGAACCTAGCTTATGTGAGAAACTCAAAACCTTCCTATTATCATCCACAATGGCAAGGCACAACAAGCCAGAGACAAAGAGAACTGTGGAGCTGAAAAATAAGTTTTAGCTCCAAGAATTCTGAAAAAGAGAACCATAAGGTAGAACTGTGTTTCAGAGAAAGACAGAATCACATCTATTGTACCAAAATGGGTAATGAAAGGAAAGGAGGACACAATGGAAGTATCCATCTAGAATAAACATTATGAAGGAGAGAAGTAAGATGTCCTGCGAACACACAATAACAGGAAAGAAGACATCATGTCTTCAAGGTACAAATGACTCAGCTAAAACTGAATCCTTGAGACTGATAACAGAAACATGATTAAACAATGAAGCTATAGAAGCAAACCTAAAAATGACAGACATATGGCCACAAGGGGTTCCTGTGAACAGCAAGAGTTCTCCAAGGATGGCCAGCCACCTAGATTGGGGGTGGGAGGACAGTCCCAACATCTGCTAGGGTCTCACCAAAAGGATTATCTACCCTGCCAAGAACTGCATGAAAACACAGGTGGTTGTGTACTGAGGAGATATGCACAGCTGCTCAATTCCCTGGAAGAGTGAGCACCTGCCAGACATTGGCTTGAGCTGCCGAACAAAGCTAATTTCTCTTGCCAAAGAAAATGAAATTTACAAACACCAAGGAGACCATAAATTCACTGGTGAATGTATCTGGTGTAGATAGGGACTGGGGAAGACACCCCCACTCCACCCCCAAGTTAATGTAATGAAGTAAGGTGTCTTCCTCAATCTTTTTGAGGAAGATTGAGGCTGCTTGATATGGTTAGACATTCTAAAACATGAAGTGTCAAAATTAAATATTCTTTGTAGTCACAAATCAACAGTATACAGTCAACAACTAGAACTGAGATTAGCTGAGATTTTTGTTTACACATGCTTACCTCGAATACTGAAAGGTCTTTCCTTCGGTAAATTTCATTTGCTGGAGGATGAAACCATCCACACTTCTTTGAGTGTCTTAGCAAAATATTTTTACTTCTCATATATTTAAGACAGAATTCACACAGGTAAAGCTTTGGTAATCTGTTAAAATTTAAAAGTCAAAGGATCTGTGAAATTGATTATAGTGTTCAAGGGAGGAAATTAAATATTATTTGATTTCCCCTAGGACATAAAAGCCTCGGAAAATATTTGAAATAGTTTTAAAAAAATAAAAGAAGGAGCTGGAGGCTGGTGGCTCATGCCTGTAATCCTAGCTACTCAGGAGGCTGAGATCTGAGAATCTCAGTTCAAAGCCAGCCTGGGAAGGAAGTCCGTGAGACTCTTCTCTCCAATAAACCACCAGAAAGCCAGGAGTGGTGGTGTTGCTCAAGTGGTAGAGTGCTAGCTTTGAGCTGAAGAGCTCAGGGACAGTGCCCAGGCTTAGAGTTCAAACCTTACGACTGACAAAAAACACACACAACAACCAATAAATAAATAAAGGAAAGGAGTAAAGGGTCTCCTTAGGCTACCTAACTCAGTTACTTTTTTATCTTCTACTTCTGCTAACTTTCCATAAGATACTTGAGAATGTCAGAAATCAGAAATAAAATTCACAACCTCATTAGAAAAATGGGTGGGAAAAAGGCAAGTACAGAAGAACCCTACCAAGCATTTTATAATAGATATTTTTTATAAGGATTTGGTTTCATAAAACTAACATTTTCCCTATTCACCAAAGACAGAGAGCATTATCTGGAAGTTCCAAAGCCAAATTTATAATGCTGTGCAACAAAAGAGTGTAAAAAATTTACACAGAACAAATGCAAGAAATTTACACTATTTTTAAATTTTGAAATGCGTGGCAGCTGGGTGCTGGTGGCTCACACCTGTCATCCTCGCTACTGAGGAGGCCAAGATCTGAGGACTGCCGTTCAAAGCCAGCCCTAGCACGAAAGTCAGTGAGACTCTTATCTCCAATAAACTATTAAAAAAAAAAAAAAAGCCAGAAGTAGAGCTGTGGCTCAAGTGGTAGAGCACTAACACTGCGCAAAAGGAGTTCAGGGACAGTGCCCAGGGCCCTGAATTCAAGCCCTAAGATCTTTTATAAAAAACAAGAAAAAAAGATGGGTAAGGTAATCATTTCATAAGTAATTAAAATTGACTACCAAAATTTATGTCCTAGAATTCCTGCTTTAGAATTGAGAATTTTCCTCTCTTACACAGACTGCCAGACTCATTCTATTACCTTGCATATTCCTGTGGGTAAGGCGAGGAGTACCAGGTTTGGATTTCGTATTTCCCAAATTCTATTACAGAAGGGTACCGACCACAGTCTTCCACTCCACTTTCACACTCAATTTTCTGACACACAGAGAAAAGAAATATGATAAAATACAAATATGAAGAGGATATACTTTACTTACACTTAATTAGTAACCTCTTATCAAAATCTATCAAGATCAGAACACTAATCACAATTACGAATTTTCATGTTGAAAACACACTACATCCGTGTGCCGGTGGCTCATACCTGTAATCCTAGCCACTTAGTAGGCTGAGATCTGAGGATTGTGGTTTGAAGCCTGCCTAGGCAGGAAAGTCTTTGAGACTCTATCTCCAATAAACTACTCAGAAAAAGCCTGAAGTGGCACTGTGACTAGCCTTGAGCAAAAGAAGCTCAGGGTTAGAGCCCAGGCCCAGAGTTCAAGCCCCAGGCCAGACAAAAAAAACAAAACAAAAACTCCAAAACGCCCAAAATACCCTTGTGAAATAATAATCATCATTGTGTTAGGACATATCCTAACAACATGACAAGCATGAAGTGCGACATAAATTCACATAAATATCTACAGAATTGCATCCCACAATCTGGCACCATGTATTATAAGATCATATAAAATTTCAGCTCTGGGGGATAGAGATTCAGCTTGACCATATCATACCAGCCTAGTAAGGTCAAAGCCCTGAGTTCAAACCTGAGTATAGGATGAGGGGAAGATCTTTGATTGCCTGATTCACTGAGTTAGGCCCAGTGTCTACTACAGAACCTTAACACAGAACAAGAAATATTTCTTTTTGTTTTGTTTTCCTGCCAGTACTGGGACTTGAACTCAGGGCCAGAGTACCCTTCCTTACCTTTTTCACTAAATGCTAGCAACTCTACCACTTGAGCCACACTTGTACTTTTCTGCAAGGGCTAGTTTGCAACCACAGTCCTCAGAGCTCAGCCTCTTGATTAGCTAGGATTACAGGCATGAGCCACCGGCATCTAGCTAAGAAATAGTTCTTAGAACAAAAAAAAAAAAAAAAGAACCTCCAAATCCAGCTTTTTCATGTCAGAATGCAAGGCCTTTGGATATTGAATTAGTTCTCATCATCTTTATACATGAAGGTCAGAAGAAAAAAAAACAGCATGTTTAAGGACTTTTAGCTCTCAATGGTTGGGAGGAAACCGGTGTTACACTTAGCTTAAGGGCAATCAATACACACAGTATCTTGTTAGGGCAGAATGATGACTAGAAATACCCAATAGCTCCTAAGATAAAAATCACAAGAAGTTTTTAGCCTAAGTGGATTAAAAAAAAAAGAAATTAATAAATAAAACTTATAAGCCTACTCCAGACAACACTGTCCCCACAAGGCTAATGACATGAGAAATTCACAATCCTAAAAAAATTGCCTTGGAGAAGTCTAATGTTTGGGTGACAACTAAAACAGAGCTGAGAATTTAAATGAGATCATTAAATTACTAGACACTGAAAAGAAAAATGATTTCAACTGATCAGGAAGCACAATATTGCTTTCATCAATGCCAAAGAGTTAAAAATATCAGACATTTTTCATATGACTGGCCATCTGTGTCTGAAACAGCATCAGTAAAGTGAAAAGTGATGTTCTTTTTGGTAACTATTTTAAGTTGTTTTCTAAGTTCTGGCAAAAATAATCAGAGATTGATTTCTTCTTACCTAAAAATGTTAGGATCTTGGTTATTTTTTGTTTTGTAGTCTCCCTCAGCTAGCATTATCCTGACCCATTTTATGAGACCAACTGAGTCCTTTTCTACTTTGAGAGCACTCTGATGTTATGGCTTTTAGATGTAGAGTCAACAAAAAATGGGCATGGCAGGGAGGGAGGAGTTGGAAAGGTGGGGAGGGAAGGGATGGTAGGGGAAAAACAAAGGAGGAGGTAACAATGCTCGATAGGAAATGTACTCATGACCTTGCTCATGTAACTGTAACCCCTCTATGTACAGTATCTTTACAATAAAAAAACATTTAAAAAAAAGGGCATAACATAGAACCAGAAAGAACATTGACACAGAGGGGGCATGCTCTGTATTATAACTAGCACAGTAATTTCACACTAACAGTTACAAGCCAACTATTACTCATGTATTATAATGTTCTGGCTAACAAGCCTTACCTCCCAAGACAGTTCCTGGGCTTGCTTAAAAACATCCAAATCCTCTTCAGTAACGACGTCCTTGTTTCCAATCACATTTACATCTGTACTTTCTTGTTTGATGCTTATTTTAATTTCAGTATCTGTCATTTAAAACCAGCAGAAAGTGCATTCACTGACTTGAATCATGAGTAACCACCATCTTATTACCAAATGGTACCAAATCAGCATAGTGGGCAAGCAGGGATCTCCTCTTCCTTTTTGAGCTTTATAAGATTCTAAAGCTAAGCACTGCCCAAAAATCCAGCAGTATCATTTCCCTACTATACTCAAACTTGTATTTGAATTTATCAGTCATCTTTTTTTTTTAAAATAACTTTAACAAATACATGAAAGAGCAATACAATGCAAAATAATATTTTCAACCCATATTAGAAGTTACATCAATGTCTATTTACAGTATTCCCATGATCAGTTCTGAAATCATAAAATCTACCAAGTTGTCCAAATGATACATTTTAGTTTTCTGTTGTATAAAGGGGAGCAAATGTAATAGGCCAATTTGTTCAATGAAATTAGTTTCCTCCCTAAGGTGGATACACACACAGATACACACAAATCCAACGCACACTTCACAGAATCACAGATCAGGCTTTGTTGAGACAGAAGCAAGATGAACTTTGTCATGGGAGAGCAATGGAGCAGAGGGAGATGAAGAGCTGTAATACCCCTGTTGAAAGCACTAACAGCACACACCAAAAGGCACTGTGGCCGAAGAGGCAGCATGGGCGAGAACGTGGCAGAAGCATGACAGTGGCTACTCATGCGGGACTACCAAGCCATAAGCAACACTATGAAGGCATCTGGGGGTCCTAGTGTTACTACGAATGGTAATAAATAGTAAAAGGTGGGAGAGTATTAGTTAGAAAAACATTTTAGAGGTTTAGTCAGCATTAGGAAAAGGTCAGTTTCATTGCTTCTGTATGAAAGTGAAGTGAGAACAAGAGAAATAGCTAGAACCTATGTGACAAATAGGAATTGATTGATTGATTGATTTGGGGGGTTGGGGAGAAAGGGACGGGGCGCAGGTTTGGTTGGAGCTTTGACCTTTTGCTTACCATAATCCTGATCAGGTTTAATCCTTCCGTCTGTCAAGCTCCCCTTCCCTGGTGAGGGGGTCCCCATCTGAGGGGTCACTTTATATTTTAATCTGCCTAGCATCCTGTGCTTTTTAAGAAAAGTTGTTCGCTTGAAGTGAGCAATTGCTTTAAAAATACGTCCTCTAGCCATCCCCCAGCTAGAGGAGGAGGAGTGAGAAAGAAACCTACTTCTAATATCTCTTTTTCCAAAGAAATGGGCTTTAGATTTTGCCGTAGAAGAGAATTCAGTTTTACGACGCATACGCTTGGGTGGTGCATAACTTGGGTGTCCCTTTATTCGAGACTGTCCCTGAGTGGTATAAATATGAGAAAGTCCATCAAAGAGTGCCTTCAGCTGGCTGTTATTAGTGAGACCGCTAAAGGAGGGCACACTGGACTGGCTGGAAGAACTCTGGGGAGAGGTAGAAGAAGTGGAAGTGCTGGATTTTTGCGAACTGGGGCTCTGATCAGAGACAGGGGCGGGGGGTGGAAGTGAAGAAGGTGGAGGTTTTAGCTTTTGTGTGGTACCTGTAGCCAACACATGAGAAGTGCATGACTGTTTCTGAGAGACCTTTTTCCTTGGACGATAGTGCTTGGAAAAGTCTATTATTTCCCCTCGTGATCTGCGACCATCAGGTGATGGTGTAAAAAACTTAGTAAGGCCATCAATGAGCCCTTTGGTTTTCTTGTTAACTTTAAGTGTAGAGGCAGAAATGTAGGTGGAGGTGGTGGTGATTTTGGTGGTGGCACCAGGCCGAGTGGGGTCTGTAACAGCCAATCTGCTGCTTGAGTCCTTCCCAGATGCAGCATGACCAGATGAAGGTGTGGTACAGACTTTAGTCTTTTGACCCCTACCAGGTGACCCCCTTCCTGTGAATGCATTCATGGATCCTTCATCACTGGTTACAGACCTAGGCAAAAATTTAGAGAATAGTATCAGCATTTAATAATAGAATTATAAAGGTATCTAAAAACAAATTTATCGCAACTATATGCATAGTCAATGTGCTTAAACTTCAGAAACTGAATTGTCATTTGAAGAACTGTGTATGTGTGTGCACGTGTATGTGTATTTGTGCCACCACCTAGATGTTTCTTAGCTGAAAAAGCCAACAGCAACTATATTTGCATGTCATGATACTCCCGGGGACCATCCAACCTTCTAGAAGAATCCATGTGAACCTGAGGGCAGTATAAGGAAGGAACATTTTGGAGAGACTAATAAGAACACTCAATACTTTCATTATAGTTCAAGAAAAGTCAGCTATTCCCTGTGTTGTCACAAGTAATTATGAATTCCTGAAATGTCTTTTTTTAAGTTTTAGAGGAAGTAAGTCATATGTGTTATCCAGAAGCTAAAGACTAAGCTTATCTAAATTCTAATTAAAAGAAATTTTGAACTCAATGTGGAATTTATATAAGTAATATTTGGGTATGTCTATAAATTTGTACTTAAAAAGATACTCCTTCTGAACAACTTACACTTAGACTGACAAGATAGCCTATAATGCTCTTTCAGGAGAGAAGACAATTAATTACAGCATCAAATACTGCTAAAAAAAGGACAACAATAGCAAAAAACTGAAGAAATGATTAAAGAAAAGCTACAGCGGGTCAGACATGACATGGAAAGTCTGGTGAAGAAGCAGCACATTTACCATAGTCATTATCAGACACCTGGCATCAGACTCTTTGCCCAAGGTTCTGACTGATATTTGCCTCTGGATTGTTCTGGAGGTCACTCCACTTACATAGCTGCCTGCATGAACTACAGCTGCCGGTCTGCACTTTAGACCAGTGGGAGGGAAGCTTTCTACACTGCAGTAGAATTTTATACAATAGAAACATGGGCATGTGAATTATGACAATGCTGGGACCCAAGAATGCACTTTCAAAATCGTCAGTTTAGCTGAAGACTAATATGGAGAAATGGAAGCCTGAAAATGATATGGTATTGAACCTTTTAAATATCTTAAGTAATCACAAATAGAAGAACACATTTTAGTGGTTATCTCCAATACAAGCTTTAATGAACCAGTTTCTTTGAAGCTCATTTGAGGTGGTTAAACTGCTAGGAAATCGATCTGCCAGATGACAATTGGATCCCTGAACATGGATCCCTAGTGTCACCAGAAGACGCAGTAAGGTTTACCAACGAATATCTCATCTAGGCTAAAATTTTGTATCAGAATGCTACATTCAAACTGTATCTGGAATCCATTGTCTAGAAAGGATAATATGCTTAGAAAGCATGCAAAAGAGAAAACTCCCTAGACTGTCTTAAAAATTCCTAAGTTCAAAGGACAATGTTAGACAAACAAAAAATTAGGATTGGTGCCAGATGCAATTTTCAGCTGTGGCCTTTCTTAGAAAGTTTATATTGTAATTCTTTTTTTTTTAAATTGGGTCCTGCGGATATAGTCTCAATTTAAGAACAATGCTTATATAGGATGAATGTAAAAATACCTAATTTCTACTTCAAATGATACTAATATGAAAAATCCTATGCATAAATGTTTTATGCTTATCTCAAGAAATTAACATTTAAGTTTCACAGAAAAGTCAAGAAAGGAACCTGCATTTCCTCTTTCTCCTTTGGGATATAAAGTATAGGAGGACACTATTTTTCTGAGAACAGCTGAAGTAACTACTTCAGATACAACTTGGGGAAAAGAATAAGTAAGTAAGACTCCATAGTGTGCAAGGAGGGTGAAAAACTATTCATTTCTAAAGCACAATGCCTCTTTCACTAAGCGTAAAGTGAGAAAGTGTCAATCGAATGACAGAACTGATAGAAGCATACAAGTTAACTGATTTGATTTCTAAATACCTTTGTATACTCTATAAAGGTAAAAATATAGCAATTTAATTTTTTATCTTTAAACTTTTCCAACTAACTCCTGCTAAATGGGCGTCAGTGGAATTTATATATCTACAGCATAGATAAAAAAGGCTATCACAAAAGATTTGCAGGCCACTATGAATATATGTCTTTCTGTGTGTCTGTATACATGTACACTTTGCAAATGGCCCTAACTCATCTGCAGGTTTCTCAGACGTTACTATTTTGGAAAAGTGGTAATACTATGTGCATCGGAAAAGAGAGGTATTTTCCAAAATGTTATCTGTATCAAGAAGATTCACTATAGAAATGTATGGACAAATTCGTCTCATTTTAAAATGCCTTTGAAAATATTTACATAATTGAGATCTTCTAATACTCAGCCAGTAATAAAGTAGGATGAACGATTCTTTCCAAGTCTTACATTCTGCTTCCATCCTGTTGCTTGAAAAAAATGTCACTCAGTATCACAACTACTACCAAGAGAAAACCCCAAAATGCCAATTGTAAGTAAAAGCAATTTTTCAAAAAAAATTCTACAGCTTATTCAAAAGAAGAAATATTCTTCATTCCTTGAGTTTGGAAAAATGACGTTAAAAGTCTAATGGAATCTAAGGAGCTATTGTTACTTCCATTTTAAACCCAACATAAAAGATTTCTTTTGATAGGATCTCAACCTACAACAATCGTTGCTTTAATTTATTTTTCGGTCGTCCAATGGGTTTTGCATAACGTCGTTTTATTTGTGCAGCTTTCTCATGAAGTAGTTTTCTTCCCTTTTTCTTTGGTCTGCAGACTTGGCAAATCCACATCCCTAAATTAAAATATATATGAGAAAAATACTTTAATGTTTCATTTAGAAGATGTTAAATATAAACTGTAGCTGCACAAGGATACCTATTTGCAGAACTTCACTCTGGAAAATGGCAGAGTGCTGGTGGCTCACCCCTGTAATCCTAGCTACTAAGGAAACTGAGATCTGAGGATCATGGTTCAAAGCCAGCTCAGCCAAGAAAATCTGAGACTCTTAATCTCCACTACACTACCAAAAAAGCTGGAAGTGGAGTTTTAGTTCAAGTGGTAGAGCTATAGCTTTGAGCAAAAGAAGCTAAAGGACAGCATCCAAGCCTGAGTTCAAGCCTCAGGACTAGTACATGCGCGTGTACGCACACACACACA